GAGGACCGCCAACAACAATAGGACCAACAACATACCTGGAATAACAGTTAAAAAAAAAAAAAAAAAAAAAAAAAGGTCTGGAGGGATCGCGATGGCCGTCTTTAAGACACTGTATTATATATAAACATTTCTACGCCAACCTTTTTTTAATATCTAGCCATACAATGTACGATCTATGAAATGCAAGAACTTGTACCTTCAACCTGACAAAACCCGCAGGAGTAAGAGCAGATTGTGTCCACATGTTGCGCGTCACAGCCCCGCTCGCGTATCCAGGCGTCGCAGTTCTCGGTCTTATCGTGACATCTCTCTGTGGAGTATAGTGCTCATTCGCGTATTTTTTGATGAAAGGAAATTGTTTCTTTCCTGGACATTAGTAGAGTATTTCGATATACTAGGATATATTTGGGTTGTTTGTTTGTTTCTCTCGTTTCTGTTATTGCTTTCGTTTTGTTTTGTGTTATCATTGCGTGTTCCTTTGTGTTTCTATAGCCATTGATATTTCATATCTTCACTATTCCCCTATTCGTTCATTAAATTTTCAAGATTACTCTTACCTTTCTTCTCTCTCTCTCTCTCTCTCTCTCTTCTCTCTCATCTCTCTCTCTCTCGGCGTCTCTCTCTCTCTTCTATATATACTATATTCATATATAGTATATATAATATATACTATATATAATATTATATATATATAGTATGTAGGTATATATATACATATACATATATGTATTTTATATGTGTTATAATATACATTATGTAGTACACACTTATATACTGGCTTTAGTAATAAACGTAAAATCGGATATTTTTCCTTTTTACAGATATCCGCCTTTTGCTTTGGTTATATAGTTACTGGGTAACGATGGAATTTGTCGCTCTCTACTGGGCATTTTCGGCTAATATGACCAAACACTAACTGTGGTTTGCCTTGTAATATCGAAAAACGTTTTCTTTCTCTCTCGCTACTATGAACCCCTAGTTGGTGAGCGATAATAACCCCAAATCACATAGGGTTTTGCTTTGCTGTAGGTAATTGGTAGGCGATATTTTTCCCTCTGCTGCTGGAAAGCAGGAAATATCCTTGTCACTATAAGCCAAATCAGCTGGGGATACTGATTCTCTCGTCTAACTCTTTCGTCCACGATTATTTTGAATCAAACTATTTTTACCTTGAGTGGTGAGTGTCCGTGAACGGGATTTTTTTTCTCTCGGTACTCAAACTAGAGTTTATAGACTTTCGGCATTGGAGTTGTTGGTAATAATATTTCATTATAGTTTGTGGTCGGTTCATATTGAAAACCGGGTAATGATTTGGCAGGGATAACTGGTTCTTGTCGGGTTTTCGTGGTTTTCTTCTCTCGCCTCTCTCGTCTGAGGCGGTCTGCGTCGGCGGGCTGGGTCGTCTTCTCTTTTCGTCCCCGACTTCTTGTTCTTCGATCTCGTTGACTCGGTATCTCGTCGTCTCAGGTCTCTCATCTTCTCTCTTCTTCTCTCGTCGTCTCGCCTGCAGTGTTTTGGGTCGTTGTGAAGTCGTAGATTCAGTTGGGTGTCGGGCCTGGATTCTGCCTTGATTTCCGCGTCTCTCGGCCTTTCGGGGTGGGGTTCATTCCGTCTCTCTCTTCTGTCCTTCTTCTCTCTCGAGCTCTCGTCTTTCATCAGTCTCCTTCCATCCTCGGTGCTCTCTCTGCTCTCTCCCTCCTCCCTCTCCTCCTCCCTTCATCCCTCTCCCTCTGCCTCTCTTCCTCTCCCTCTCCTCTCTCGCTTCCTGTGACTCTCCCCCCCCCCCCTCTCTCTCTTTACCTAACTCCCTAACATCCCAAGACACTATACTTTTTTCCTCTCTCTACCCAACCCCCTTAAACCCCGAGTCACAATACCTTTTGCCTTTGTAGTATTATAAACGGCGTCCTTGAGGCGAGGCCAGTAGAGCACCATGCGCTTGATGAGAGCGAACACCTGCAGAGGGTTTCCCAGAATCGCTTCGTCGAGCACGTCTCCTCCAGCTGTCATTGCGTCCAGGATCGTCCCGGCGTAGGATTCGAGGTATCTGTGGGTGGTTTTGCTTTTTTTATTATTATTATTATGGTTGTCCTTTTTGTGTCTCTCTCTTTCTGTTCCTTTTTTCTTTCTTTCTGTGCCTTTTTTTCTTTGTCTTTGTGTCCCTTTTTCTCTCTCTTTCTGTCCCTTTTTCTCTCACTCTTTCTGTTCTTTTTTTTCTCTCTTTCTGTCCATTTTCTCTCTCTTTCTGTTCTTTTTTCTCTCTTTTACATCTCTTCCTTCTCCTCCTCCTCCTTTTCTTCTTTCTTCTTCTTCGATTTCGTATTCATGCTCTTTCTTTTTCATTTCTCCTTCTCTTCTCGTTCCCTTTCGTTTTTCACTCACCCTTCCCTTCCCTCTCTTCTTCTTCCTCCTCCTCCTTCTTCTCTCCTTTCGTCCTCTCCTCCTCCGTCTCCCCCTTTCCTCCTTCTCCTTTTCTCCTCCTCCCTCCTTCTTCTTCTTC